TCTGATTCTCAACCTTCAGTCTGAACTTCTTGATTCAGTAAACACCTCGTGTTTGAACTTTATGAGAGATACCCATGTCATTCTGCTGAACTCATCAACAAATTACACAAAGTATTTATTCCCTCCAATCAATGTTACTGGAAATGGACCACACACATCAGAATGCACTACTCTCAAGGCATACTTTGCTCTTGGAGCTACTTTTTACGCAAATGGAAATCTTGGTTGCTTCCCTTCCATGCACACCGTGCATGACTTCTCAGGCTTCTTGATTATAGGAATTCCATGTACCAGCTTCTTCGATTTCAGATGCCCTAAGTTTCTGAAATTCAGATGACTAAATATTTTGTGCCACAACTCACTCTCCTTGACAACACTTGTTGCACTAAGACATTCAGAGTCTATAGTTATAACTTTCACCTTGAATGTTATGTACCTTCCCTGTTCTGACTCCATAATCAGCTTCTGATTACAGTCATACAACTTCAGAAGATTATCCTTCATGGTAACTGAAAAACCTTTCTCAATCAGTTATCCCACACTCATCAGATTGCTTTTCATGCCAGGTATATACCACACATTTTGGATCACTGTTGCTTTCACATTGTTTAGAATGACTCTGACATTTCCCATACCTTTTGCATTGAAGTATTTTTCATCAGCACATCTAATCTTTGTACTTTTCCCAGAGTCAAAATCAACCAATAATTTCTTGTTTCCAGTAAGATGGTTTGAACACTCTGTGTCCATATACCACCATTCTGATGAATTCATATCATCAGATTCAGAAGCCAACAATAGCACAGGTTCATTGTCAGACTCTCCTCTGGCTATATTTGCTTCTTCTGACTTCCTTTCTTTGTTTGACCAGCAATTTGTGGCATAGTGATCAAAGTTCTTGCAACAGTAACGTTGAACCATTCTCTTATCATATTTCTTCTTTCCCTTCTGATGTTTCTTCTCATCATAAGTAGAGTTTTCTGACTTCTGGAATCTATCACCACATTTATTCTTGGTTTCTGACCAAGAATGTATCTGGTCCTTCTTGATAAAAGAAGCTTTCAGAGCCTGCTCAACTTCCCTCTCAGAAGTTCTTTCAATCAGATGCAACTCTCACGCCTCTAGACTGCTTTGCAACTCTTCTATTCTCATGGTGTCCAGATCTTTAGAAAGTTCAATTGCTACCACAATGTAATCAAACTGAGAAGTTAAAGATCTCAATACCTTAACTATGATTACTTGTTCAGAAAGGGTTTCTCCACAAGCTTTTATCTCATTAGTGATCATAATCACTCTAGAGATGTACTCAAAACCTTCTCGTTGTCCTTCATGTGGAAATTCTCATATTTCTTTCTTAGGGACTGAAGCTTCACCTTCTTCACTAATGTGTCACCACCGTAACATCTGACCAGTGTGTCCCACACAACCTTTATTGTTTCAGAGTTAACAATCTTCTCAAACACATTCGCATCCACACACTGATGGATGTAAAATAATGATTTTTGATATTTCTTCCTTATCGCCTTCTGAGTTGTCTTATGTGCCTTTGTCGCGTTTGCTGCTAATGAAGCATAGTCATCGGTGACATGATCTAACACATCTTGAGAACCAAATAATACATGCATCTAGATCTTATTACGATTCTAGTTTTTTCCATCAAACACTGGAAGCTTGGAACTGATATCGTTGTTTCCGTTCATCTTCAACCTTGTGCAGTTCACTCAAAAACTCACTAACACACAATGTTTCCCAAATCCCACAGAATCAGAAAAATGTGATTCTCAATCACAAAACACCTCATTTTTCACTCGTGTTTCCTGTGTTTCCCATGGATTTCGAACCGGGGCTCTAGATACCAATTGTTGGTGCACAAAGGAGGATTGAAAGACAAAAGGAATATATATTAAATGACAGCTACAAAATAATGAGTAATGAATATATTAACCTACCTACTACTAGGCTATTTATACACAATATTAGGGTATAATAAAATACTAAAATACCCTCTAACAGACTTAGTTAACAAGACATTTCTAAAATATAATTATTTCCAACAATAGTGAGTTGTATCTCCTCGTATCTAATATTAACATGACTTTTGATGATCGATAACCTTTGGCTTTATGAATTCTACAAAAGAATCCAACTGCAGATCCAGATCTAGAAATGAGAAGGGTTCCCATTCCAGATTCAATTCCTCATCCAAGTGAACCTGCACATAGATTCAGGCTACCAAGTTAACGACAAAACCAATAATACTCCTAACAAGATTAAAACACCAATCAATTAAAAATAAATAAATTTGAGACCACAAACCTTCTGCTTCAGTTGTTCATTGTTGCCATCAGCATAATGGATGTCTTCAAGAAACTGTGAAACGCGGCTATGAAAATAAATGGGTTTGAGACCACAAACCTACCGCTTCATATCTGGTCGGTACGACACTGAATTAGTTGTTTTCTTCTTCAAGCATTAGTTGAATGCAGATCATCTTAGTTTCATCTTCAACGCTGCTAGGAATTCAAATTTCGTTTCTTCACACTTCATTTCGTCTTTAACTTCATTTTGCCTTCACACTTCGTTTCATCTTCAACTTTGTTTCGTCTTCAAAATGTAAATGATGTTTCTATCACTTAAACTTTGCCCGAATATGTTTCAGCTTCATTTCTTGTTTTATTTCAAAATTTTAAATCAATATAAAATAAACAAGTTCCAGGTCAGATTCTAAATATCCAACCAGACAAGATGTAACGTTTTTTTTGACAAAAACTAATTGAAATGGCCACTTAATGTAATGGAATATTAATTAAGGGACTACTTCGTAACCACTTTTTTAGTTAATAGACTAAAGCGAAATATTGAATTAAGTTACGGGACCAAAAGATGCATTAAAGATACTATTTACAATATGAAATTATTGAAAATACCCTTTTGTCCCTAGTACAACTTATTTAAAATACAAATTACCCGTTTATGTTCTATTAAAAATATATTCGCTCTTCCTCCTCTATGAATATTTACGATATGAAAATACGAAAATATTATTTTATCTATAGTACAACTTATTTAAAATACAAAAATATCATTTTATGTTTTATTAAAAATATATTCTCTCTCTTTCATCTCTATTAATATTTATAATATAAAAATACATAAAAAATATTTCTTTGTCCCTAGTACAAATTATTTAAAATACAAAAACATTATTTTATTTTTCTATAAAAAATATTTCATATCTTCTCCTTCTCTATTAATATTTACACGTATAAAGGGCATTGTAGTAAATTTTACTTTATTTCCTTTGTCCATCAAACATCGTACAAGACAAATATTTTCTTTGTTCATCCGGTACTTACTCTTTTACAAATCAAACACACTCAAGCCCTCTATACATGAATCACACAACTCCAAAGTGTTTAGAAGTATTATTCAATTTTCTCATATACCCAAAAAGCTTCCCTCAATCCTTGCCATTTTAAGTTTTTCCTTACTAAGATTGTCACCTTTTTCCTCTGTCTTTAGATGTAAAGCTCTAAATGATGTGATGACAAACATGTAAGAAATATATATTTATAACTGTTGAAACCCTACGGATCCATAATAAATCTCAAAACCTAACCCATAAACGAGTGTGTCCACAAACAGAAACAATCAAAGCCCAATACACACGAATCAAGAAAAACAAACTTGAACTCCAACGAACCAAATCACATGTTGTACCAAGACCCATTGTCGTGCCGCTTCCAGCCTCCCACCACGACGGTTCCACTGTGAACCTCACTCTATGATATGTCGTCTTCGTTGACTTTCAAGATAATTTATCAATATTTGCAATTTCAAAATATATATTTTTTCTCTTCATCACTTAAGGTTTTAAGACCTCTTTCCACACTTATAAATAATAAATCCATTTTTAAATGTTTATAAAATAAATGTTTATTTACTTTTATAAAATATAATTTTGGTGTAAGTTTTCTTACATGAAAGGCTTTAATTTATCTTCCTTTTTATGTAAGTTAACAAACAGGCTTTAATTTATCTTCCTTTTTGTGTAAGTTAACAAACAGCCTCAACTTATTCAAAGTGATAAATCCATGTACAAAGTGGAGAATGGTTTATGCAAACAAACAAAAAAGCATGACACTAAATCTTATACCTAGGTATTATTCAATGCTAAGACCCCAAAGAAATGTCACCTAGCTAATTTGATTCTAAATAAATTAGAGCAACATGCATGCCTGTAATCAATCAGAAACTTCCATGTCATATTAAGCACGCGGTTGGTTTATAATTTATATAGTATGTATAGAAGATACAGTCTTATTTGAATGGAAGAAAATTTCTACTTAGAATTGCACACAAAGTCAACTAAAGTCATTTCTTTCATAGAAAAAAACTTCCAAAGTGATAGAGGAAATTAAAGCCTTAGATGGAGGATTTTTTATTAAAGATTTTTTTAACCATGTTCTATATTACTCCCCACCAAACACTCCCACGTGCTGGTGCAGCATCTAACTCGTGAAATTCAACATTCATAATATCTTAACAATATATTGAGGTTAGTCAAGTAACTTTTTGTCATTCGTGCATGGCTTTATTTTTCTAATAAAATTGAATATTATACCATTGGTTATCAATACGTGGTAATAGAAACATTATAGAAAGTGCATGCATGCGTTGAAAGTCTTTTATGAGTATATAAAAGAGGTTGAAGCTTAGTGCATACGTTTCATAATATTAGTTGAAAGAAAGAAAGATAGAGAAACAAAACATTAAGCTCTTGCGTTTCTCATGAACTGTGGAGTCGTGTTGGGTTTCTATTGTTGGGGTTGGGAATTCTTAACTGCTCTTCTTCTTTTCTCTTCTCTTCTCTTCTTCATCAATCTTAAGTAATAGTTAATCTCTTCTATATATTCTTATCTTCATCTTCTTATATATCCTTCTTTACAAACTAATTTTCTATCTACTAGAGAAATATTTTAAGAGAATAGAAAAAAAAAATGGAAGGAGGGTTATTGGAGTGTGGAAGAAAGTGCACTCCATCACCTTTCTTGTTGAAGACATATATGTTGGTGGAGGATCCGGGGACCGATGAGGTGATATCGTGGAACGACGAAGGAACCGCGTTCGTGGTGTGGCAGCCGGCGGAGTTTGCTCGTGATCTTCTTCCAACACTCTTCAAGCATAGCAATTTCTCTAGCTTTGTACGCCAACTCAATACTTATGTACGTATAATATTTGTCTTAATTTCTAGATATCATAGTTTCTTGTCATTTTGGTTATATGATCATTTAAAAAACACCATTTTATAATGTTTTCTTAAGAAAATGATGGAAAAAAGAGTTTTTGTTTTCTTGAGTATGAAACAGGTTAGCTATATTTGTTTGACTTGGTTTAAATTTCTTAATAAATGAAGGAATTGATTAATTAGAATTAGATTTTTTTTTCAATTAAGATGTATAGAAAATAATTTGTCTCTATTCAATACTATTACTCGTCAACTACATATAAAATTCAATGTTAGTGGCCGACATGTCTTAGAAACATGTTTTTTTAGTCTTTTACAAGTAAAAATTTGACAAAGTTATGTGTGAAATAGTACTAAAATTAAAGAGAATAACAATCTTATAATCTTACAGGGGTTTCGTAAAGTTGCAACAAGTAGATGGGAATTTTGCAATGAAAAATTCAAGAAAGGTGAAAGAGAGCTACTAACTGAGATTCGGCGAAGGAAAGCATGGTGCAACAAGCAACAACGTACGATACAAAACCAAGATTCTGATGAAGATCAAAGGTCATCATCAACCTCGTCAACTTCGGGATACACTAATCTTGTGGATGAAAACAAGCGACTGAAGAAGGAAAATGTGGTGTTGAGTTCTGAGTTAGCAAGCACGAAAAGGAAATGTAAGGAACTACTTGATTTGGTGACAATTTGTAACAAGAGACAGGAAGAGGAAAAGGCTAAGGATGATGATGAAAGGCCAATGCTGTTTGGAGTGAGATTGGATGTTCAACAAGGAGAGAGAATGATGAAAAGGAATAGAGCTGAGATTAGTGAAAGTGCAAGTATTTTGTTGTCACAATCATGCAAATAGAAATATAAATAAATTTATGTTACACTAGAAGCCTGAAAATATAGGTATATATATGTAGTTACTCAAAATTAAAGCAATAATCAAGTAATCATATACATTAGTTTGTTGATTAGATAGACAAGTTCTCTCTCTTTCTCTATTCTCTCCTTTTTTTTTCTCTTCCTTATCTTTACTCTCTATCTTTTAGAACTTCACTCTTTCTCTTAAATATATTTTCTCTTTTAATAGAAGAGAGAGTAAGATTAAGATAGATACAATTAGGAGAAGAAACGAGAAGTCTCTTACACTTAATTAATTAGTATTTCATGAAATTAATAAAATTGTGAATAACTCTCAATCTTAAGGTTGTAATAATTGTGCAATGTGAATTAGGATGATATATAAAAAGGGAATTTCTTAAAAATCTCTCAGTTTTCGAAGATGCATATCTGAACGCACTTTTTTTGGGAAGGTCAGTTTATTTCGGAGATACATCTCTATAAATGTATTGGAGGTTTAGAATATTTTTTAAGATTCGAATATATATATATATATATATATATATATATATATATATATATATATATATATATATATATATATATATATATATATATATATATATATATATATATATATATATATATATATATATATATATATATATATAAGTCAATACTACAAAAAATATCAAGAGTTACACCGAAGTCGATAAACAAAATACAATTCAAAATATATAAAGCATACATATGTCAGGACTACTGAGTATGTTGGACTATGATCCGACCCTACATTCTTCCCGCGTTCCTGCACTGCCTCCTATACTACAGAGCCTCCCTAGCCTCTTCTATAATGACATCTATAACATATCCCACTTTAAAGCCATCAAAAAAGAGTTCTCCATCAATACTCGTCTTTCCAATCTCCGCGATATAACGACACCTAGGCAACACATCATGGGCATTGATCGGCCATAGCCTGCTCCTCTTCTAGAATCTCTTGATGAGCTAACGTAGGTGGATTTCCTGAAGCATCATGTACCAAATATGGATGTGACACCTGGAAGAACCATCGGATGTAACCGTCTGCGTAGCTCCAATGTTCGCAGTTATGGTACTCCGTGCCTCATCTGGTACCAGATGATTAAAATAATCATCAAACATGGCATCATATCTCTGTGTTTCATCAGGGGAGGAGCAGACACAACAGGATCTCAGGGAATATAGTGCATGTAGCCAACTGACGCATGTCGCGCTTAGGAAGATAAGGAGCTGTCAGACGTGATCCGCAAGCCAACCATCCTGAGTATAAGACAATATCATCAAATGGAATCGTCACACGGTGATCGACGTATATATGGAAATGCATATCCTCAAAGACCAAGTGGTCAATATACACCCTGAACGGTTTTGTCGCATAATTCCCTCTGAGAGGGTCGAATACAGAAGCACGTGGCTTATCCTCAGTATAAGTCGGCTCAAGTCACCAACTGAAAATGCGTGCGAAGTGATGTAGGATTCAGGCCTGAAAAAACAAGAATAATTAGTTAGTAATGGTGTTGCAATAATTAATAAAATGGCACACAACCAATAGAAAACCAAGAAATGTTACCATCAAAAGTGATACTATCGGTCACCTGCTTCGTCTTCCATATACAGCCTTCAGATAATTTAGAGTGCAGATAGACCAAACAAGTGCCCCCCAGTTACATTCATGGATCCGCTCAAAGTCATCAAAGTACCGCGGGTATATGACATCCACATAAGTTACACTCTTGTTTATAAAACTAGCAGTGTCAACCAAACACAATAGGTATGTTCTCATAGCACACACTTTGTGCAGCCCTACCTGCTCGGCATCACCATCAGCCTGTCGTGCTCTTACTATCTCTTTTTTAAACACATCCTGCAAATAGCTAAACCTAGCATGAGCCTCACTAGTCTAGTCAAGATCCTTCATGGAACTCTCTGGGAAACTCTTAAGTATTCTACCATCAACTCCAGTCCCTCTTCTTTGTCACACCTCCCATGATCTAAAAACCTCCTCCTAATCGAAAGATGCAACAGGCATGCGATATCATCCAGTGTGATAGACATCTCACCATTTGGTAGATGAAAGTATGACGTCTCTGCATGCCATCTCTATACAAAAGCATTAATCATACCATTATCAATTGTAGTATAACAAGTCTGGCTAAAATCTTTCAACTTTGATAGTTGCAACACATCTTGAAACTACCGCTCATTTGGCTCTTCCAGTCGACTTATCTTCTGCATATGATTGATGATTTTTAGCGGCTCATGTTCCTCCATACACAGATTAATGGGAATGATTCAAACAAACACATACACATTTTTTAAATGAATAGTTCTAACCAATTTTTACCTCTTTGTCCCAGATATATCTGGCAACATGGTCTGGATAAATAGGCAGTAGTGATAAGTCAGACGACCCTCCTCCAAAACTCTGAGGTGTCGCATTCCTCTCTGGTCTCAGGTGCCGCATGGAATTGGGACTGGGGTACCTCATGTGTGGATGGAGATTGTGATACCTCTCCTACCTCAAGTGCCTTCAGGGACATATACGTAAGTGTGTCGTGCGACCCTGCTGTGTCTCAACTTGTATTGTCTGTCAGCCATAACTCATGTAAAAGGATAAAATAAATGTTACACAATGACTCATGTTCGAATAAAGGAAAAAATTCAGGCAAACTTATTTCGGAGATGCATCTCCGATTTTTATGTAAACGTTGAAAATTCTGGAGATGCATCTCCGGAAATTCCTGCAACCTCATTCACCATCAATGGTGAATTGCAGGGTCTGAGGACCTCAAAAAAATGTCATTGATCGTCAAAAAAACATAACTAAAACGTTCTACCGTAGTTCTAAGCTACCAAACACTTAAAATATTTCAATTCTCTAACCTAAAACTCAAATTCTAAACTATTTTACATTAACTTAAGTTTTAAAATAAACTTACAAATGATCTCTAAAACTTGATTATTAATGCTTGGTGAAACTTGAATATTTGATTTTTGATGAAGCTTAATTGTTGTTTAATGAATATTGATGAAGTTCCGCACAATGTGGTTTGGGAGTATTTTAAGAAAATGGGTTTTGAAATGAGTATCTGAAAGTGAGGAAGGGGAATAAACGATGGCGCGTATTTGATAAAATATCGTTCGAAGATACATATACGTAAGGATATCGGAGATGTATCTCTGGAAAAAATTTGCGTGACATTTGATCTTATAGCAACACATGCACTAAAGTTAGGGGAGATGCAACTACGAAAGTTTTACGTAAATGCATCTCTGGATAATTATTTCCACTGATTTAGGGTCTTGTTCAGCAATGTGTATACATTTGGTGTGTCCGTAGATGTATCTCCGGAACCTGAGGGCATAATCATATTTTTGCATGGTGCGCTAGAAAAGCATGGGTGCATTAAGAAATTTCCTATATAAAACAGGGTTCAATTATTAATAGGTTTGTTATTGTGTAATTTGAGAGATGTATTTTATTAGGCAATTTCTCATCCTACCCTTATATATGGGGCGCACCTTTGAAAATCCAAAAATGCCCCTGAGTGAATTCGGATATGCATCTTCGAACGCACAAAACACCATTTTTTGGAAAAATTTAGTTTGGAGATGCATGTCTGAAGTCACCCTTGCTACATTTAAAAAAATTTGATCATTCAGTAATATTTTCAGAGATGTGTTTCCGAAAATGTCCAGCGGGAATTTGAGTATATGATCACCTTTCATGATCATCTTCCTCACTTTTCAAACACTACCAAACACCTCCATAACCAAAAAATCCTCGAAAAAAAATCTCATTAGCAGTCAACTTTTCGATTCAAAATTAGATTTTTTGCATTCTAACACATCAAAGGGAGCATCATAAGCTTCAATTTAAGGTAAAGTTCCTTCATTTCATTCTCCATTGCTTGCATTGATCTTTAAATTGAGCTAAAAAATGTTCGTCTGGTTCGAAAATGCATTTCCGAACTCACCTACTTTATTTTGGATATGTAATTACGAGTTCAACTGTTAATAGTTTTTAAAAACTTTATTGTTTAGCTTCTTATTAAATACGTTAGACTCGAATATGTTTCGCATAATAGTTGTACGTGACAATGTAAAATATGATTTAGCGAAGGATAATGTTAAACCAGATGAAGTTAAGCATGATATTAAACCAGAAAAGGTGAAAAATGATGTTAAAGTGATACAAATAGACGTTGGTCAATGTTTCATAAATGAACAATTGTATACTGCTCGCGAACATATGCTTCAATGGGTCTGCATGCTAGCCAAAAATTTGGGGTTTAACATTGTAATTGGAAGGTCTGGCAATGGTTCTAAGAGAAGATAAGTATTTTTAAGCATGGCATGCACGATAAGTGGGACGTACGTTGTCTCGATTAGGAAGTTAAAATGTGATGACACTAGAACGAGAAAGTGTGGTTGTTCGTTTAAACTGCGTGGATATTGTAGCATCGATGAGATGTAGAAATTTAATGTGCTTTTTGGAATACATAACCATGAATGGCAAACAAAGCTAGCTAGTTATCCCATCAACCAGAGGAGAAGGAAATTGTTTCAAGCATGACTTTAATCAGAGTGGCACCGAAAAACATACTTGCAAATTTGAAATAGAAACACCCAGAAAGAGTCTCAAATATCAAGCAGGTATATAATCAGCATCATAGAAACAACATGGCGATGAGGGGTCCAAGATAGAAATGCAACAACTTTTGAAACTTTTGAATGAAAACCACTATGTTTCTAGGTATACAGTATATGATGATAAAATCATTGTTCGTGACATTTTCTATACTCATTCCGAAAGTATCAAGATTTCCAACATATTTCCTAATGTACTTGTTATTAATGCAATGTACAAGACCAACAAGTACAAGTTTCCGCTTCTTGAAATGGTTGGTGTTACTTCTACGAAGAAGACTTTTTCAGTGGGATGTACATTTTTGGAATCAGAATAAGAGGCCAACGTTA